TCTCCCAGCCTGTTGCCCTACAGGACTTAAGCAACACTGCATAAATCTTCTAGTATAGTATAAAGTTGACTGAGCCCTCATTAAAAAGAAATACTGCATGGCTGGATTCTTACTTACTTTGTCTTTAAGGTTCACACAGGGAGGGGTAAAACATTCACTGCAACCCCTCCATCACATACACACATTCGAGAAGGAATGGCACGTGCACCTCATCTGACCTCCCACAAACCTCATCCAGGGAGAGCTCTCTCTCTCTCTCTCTCTCTCTCTCTCTCTATTTCTCTCACACACACACACACGGAAGGAGGGGGGCCAACTAACCCAACCTTCCCTGTCTGGTGTTTTCTGCTTTCCATACCTGTCAGGACCCCCAGGATGGACCTGCCTCCCCTGGTGCTGGGTGCTACATCTTCCCAAGAGAACTGCACTAAGAATGGGACACCCCCCCAACTATCCATCCATCCCTGTACCTACCAGGCCTCCCAATCCTGAGTGTGGCACAGGCCTTTCCCACCAACCCCACTTCGCTCCCAGAACTGAGCAGAGAACTCAGGTGTTAAGGTCCCCAGCCCTTCCCCCATTCTAGATAGCTTAGTTCTGTTTGGGCTTATTTGTCCCTAAAGTCGCTCCGGCCACAAGCAGACCATATGGCCTACCTCCAAACACCCCTTCTCCAGATCTGTCAGTCCCCTCCTCCCCCCACCCTGTAATGTGACAGCAGAATCCATTATGTTTTATTTTTTCCTTTGTCCAGGAAATTCCAGCTCTTGTGCCAGACATTCATCTGTCCGGATAATTGTTAGACTCCTGCAGGGTCGGTGGGGGGGAGGGGCATGCAGGGGGAGAAGAATGTGATACTTTTCTTGGCACTGAGATGTGCCCATCTTTGGGGCAGAGCAGCTGGTCACACAGCCCCCTCGCCTGGTGCTGAGATGCAGCCACCTCTGGGGCAGAGCGGCTGGTTACACAGGGACCAGCTACCCAGCACTGAGATGCAGCCACCTTTGGAGCAGGTTGCTGGTAACACAAGGACCCTTTGCCTGGTGCTTAGATGCAGCCAACTCTGGGGCAGGGCACAGTGGCTGTTCTGGAAGCCGCCAGGGCTGGATTCTCTGCCTGGCTCTGGGTTTAGCTAGGCTCAGCTGCTTGTGGGGGGTGCTAGACTGTTATCTGCCAAGCAAAGGGCCCCAGGCAGGGCAGAGGCACTGAGACTGGTGGAGCCAGAGGAGCTGGGGAAATGAGGTGTCACATCCTGCCCTGACCCCGTTCCCCTCCCACGGAAACAGCAGAACAAAGGGAACTTCCTGACTGCAGGGAGAAGAGAAACCAGGAGCAGGGACCCACATGATTCCACAGAGAGAGTGTCCCTGGCTGCAATCAGGAGCCAGGATGCCTGATTCTCTTTGCTCCTCTCCCCCATCCCAGCCCTCACTCCCAACCTGCAGCCCCTGCCTGCCAAGCCCTCGGCTCCCCCCAGCCCTGCCACGGCCCCTCACTCCCAACCTGCACCCCCTGCCAGCCCACACCCGCGGCCGCCCCTGCCAGCCCAGCCCAGGGCTCCCCCAGCCCTGCCCATGTCCCTCACTCCCTACCTGCAGCCCCTGCCAGCCCAGCCCTGCCCTGCTCTGCCCCCCTCTATTTTAATTAGAAGCAGCCCTGATGAATAGTGTGATTGAAGGAGCTGTCCACCAGCCTCCCCACGCCTGGCTCACACAGCCTGGAACTAATTTATCTCTGCAGCATCTGTCCCTCCGTAGGGCAAAGGGGTCAGACTGAGCATGCTGGCGCCCCCTAGGGTCAGAGTCTGTTTCCTGACCCTGCTGTCCTGTCCTGTCCTGGCAGGGCAAGGAGATAAGGCTGGGAATCCAGGGGGGCTGCACCAGGGTAGGTCTGTGCTGGTGCTTCCCACAGAGCTTCCGTAAGGGAGGCCAGCTTGGGGCAGGGGTAGGACAGGGATTAACGAGCTTGTGGAAAACGAGCATTCATTGTGCTTGTTTCAGTGCCCATCAAACCTCTGATGGTGGTGTAGCAAAGATCCTTCCCTCACAACTCCCAAAGCCCCCTCCACTCACAGGCCCCCCTCCCAGCCTGCCCCCCAGCTTGTCACTCACCCCGATATCTGAAACATTCAGGGTATAAAGTCTCCATCCCCCAACCCCTCTGTCCCCCTCCCTGACCTGCATGCCCCCCCAGCTCTATCCACACACCCCACCCCTCAATGGCCACCCCAAACCTCTGTCTATACCACCAATTGCCTCCAGCCCCAACCTCCATTCCCCTCCCACCTCCAGATCCACCCCACCCCCAATCACACCCGAACCCCTGTTCTAGGCTCTGGGTTAGCACTACCAAGTCCAAGGCTGGCTGGACCCAGCTGTTGCTGACTCCCCACCCATCCTGGCACTGTAGGGCATAGGACCAGCCCCTCCCCCACTCTGATCTGTGACCGAAACTTTGTGGGCTACAGTGAGCTGGAGCTGTCAGCTTTGATATAAAGGTCCAGGCTCTGAGCTGGGTTTTCTGCCCACTCTGGGAGAAGAGTGGGGGCTGATAGGTTAGAGCAGGGCAGCAATGAAAGTAATCTAATATTTCTTACAGGTACTGTCCTATTGCAACCTGGGTCCCTGCCAGCTCTTTAAATAGCTCCCTGCTGGCTTTTGCCACAGCTCAGCCAGCTCTTGCCGGAGCTGCGCACCAGGGCGCACCCACTTCCTTTCACCTCTAGAGCAGGGGGACTGAAAGCCAGGACTCCTGGGTTCTGGGCCTTGTCAGGGCTGGCCATGCTGAGTAGGGGGGGCAGCTCTAACCCCCAAACCCCTGCCCAGGGGCTCCCAGAGAGTATTCAGTTCCCATGGCTCCCACTGACCACGGTGTATGTGAGTGGTGGGAGGAGGGGGGACTGTTCTGCTCTGCTCTGAGCGAGTTTCCTGCCTGGCTCCAGCAAGCCCAAGGAAATTGGCCCTGGGAGATCCCGCCCTGCCCCTCCTGCTCCCCTCCAAGGATGGGACACGAGGTGTGGGAGACTAGAGCAGCCAGGATGGAACCTTATCTCTACAGCCCAGCAATGGGTAGAACTTGCCTCAGAGACAGGCAGAGAACCTTGGAGTCCTGGCTCCCAACTGCCTTCATGTCACAATCCACCTCTGTCCCTCACTCCCCACACACAGCCTCTGCTAGCCCAGGACTGGGCTGTTAGAAGAAAAGTGTAGAGTGGGGTGAGCAGCAGACATGTGGGGGTACTGGGACGGGGGGAATCACCCTCTGTTGACAGCAGTGCAGGGGCTCTGACACACAGGGAGCAGCTCTCATGGCATCAGTGCTGGGGAGGGGGACAGTGCAGGTCTGTGCATGCCTGACACACAATGGGGCACTGGTTCCATCCAGCGATTATCCCCTTCCCCATCCCATAGGGGGCATGGAGCTGTTGCTATGCAGCCTCTAGCCAATGTCCCTGGGAGTCCGCCAGCTGTGCCCCTCACTCTCGTATCCACACAGTGCCTACACACAACTCACTGTGCCCCAACACCATCAAAAACCCTCTACACACACACTCCAACTACCCCTCTAATCCCCACAGCGTACAACACCACTCTATACCCACAAAGCCTGCAGCACCCCTCTACATACACAGCCAGTAATACCCCTACACACACACAGCCTGTAATACCCATACACACACACACAGCATACAGCACCCTCTACACACATAGCCTGTAGCACCCCTCCACACACACAGCATGTAATACCCCTCCACACAGACACAGCCTACAGCACCCCTCTACACACACAGCCTGCAGCACCCCTCTACACACACAATCTGTAACCCCCTTCTACACACACACAGCCTACAGCATCGCTCTACACACACAGTCTGTAACACCCTTCTACACCCACAATCTGTAACACCCTTCTACACCCACAATCTGTAACACCCTTCTACACCCACAATCTGTAACACCCTTCTACACCCACAATCTGTAACACCCTTCTACACCCACAATCTGTAACACCCTTCTACACCCACAATCTGTAACACCCTTCTACACCCACAATCTGTAACACCCTTCTACACCCACAATCTGTAACACCCTTCTACACCCACAATCTGTAACACCCTTCTACACCCACAATCTGTAACACCCTTCTACACCCACAATCTGTAACACCCTTCTACACCCACAATCTGTAACACCCTTCTACACCCACAATCTGTAACACCCTTCTACACCCACAATCTGTAACACCCTTCTACACCCACAATCTGTAACACCCTTCTACACCCACAATCTGTAACACCCTTCTACACCCACAATCTGTAACACCCTTCTACACCCACAATCTGTAACACCCTTCTACACCCACAATCTGTAACACCCTTCTACACCCACAATCTGTAACACCCTTCTACACCCACAATCTGTAACACCCTTCTACACCCACAATCTGTAACACCCTTCTACACCCACAATCTGTAACACCCTTCTACACCCACAATCTGTAACACCCTTCTACACCCACAATCTGTAACACCCTTCTACACCCACAATCTGTAACACCCTTCTACACCCACAATCTGTAACACCCTTCTACACCCACAATCTGTAACACCCTTCTACACCCACAATCTGTAACACCCTTCTACACCCACAATCTGTAACACCCTTCTACACCCACAATCTGTAACACCCTTCTACACCCACAATCTGTAACACCCTTCTACACCCACAATCTGTAACACCCTTCTACACCCACAATCTGTAACACCCTTCTACACCCACAATCTGTAACACCCTTCTACACCCACAATCTGTAACACCCTTCTACACCCACAATCTGTAACACCCTTCTACACCCACAATCTGTAACACCCTTCTACACACACACAGCCTACAGCACTCTTCTGCACATATAGCCTGTAATACTCCTATACACACACACACACACACACACACACAGAACACTCCCCCCCCCTCCCCCAGTTCAGTTGTGTAAACACCGCTCCGCCCACCCCCGCCCCTCAGCCCCCTCCTCCTACCTCCCGCAAGTGGGCGCAGAGTTCGCCGCGCGCCCTGGGTGAGCGGGGGCTTGCGGTAGCACAGGGTTCGGGGGCGGATTTCCAGCACCCCACTCCAGATCTGCAGCCAGGCGGTCCGCGCAGGTCCCGGGGCAGCGCCTCGCTGGGCGAGGAGGGATGCAAAGTTTTGGGGTTCCCCCAAGCCGGGCTCCCGGGTGCTTCTTCTCCGAGCGGGGGACGGGTTTAAGATACTTTTGGAGGGGGTCTGGGTCGTGCCCAGCTCCGGGGACAACGGCTGGAGGGAGAAACTTACTGCAAAGAGTTCGCAGCTCCGGAAAGTGGCTGTTTGGGGGGGGCGCTTCTGGCAAAGATACAGGAGTCCCTCGGGGAGACCAACACTTGGGGGGCTGCAAAGGTTTGTGGGGACCCTAACCAAAGCTTCCCTTGCTGTTGCCCGGCTTTGGGTGGGCGGGATTTTGGGGAGGGTGACCCCGCAGGGAGTTTGGGGGGAATTCTCACATCTCAGCCAGGTTTCGGGGCTCTTTGATGGATTTTGGCGGACTGGCCAGAACTTTGAGGAACCTGTCTTCAAAGACCTTGCCTGGACCAAGTGCGTGTTAGCCCTTTGGGGGGCCCTAAATATTTTTGGGGAGCTCTCAAATAATGGAGTCCCCATGAACTACAGGGGGCCCTGGTCTGCTCTCCCCCCCCACTTTGCAGTGCTTTTTGCAAAGTGCGGGGGATGCTGCAGATTTGAAGGAATGGGGAGGAATTTGGGGTCCTCCTGAGCAAATTACAGATGCCCCTCCCTGCATGGATGCTATTTTTTTCTTCTACTTTCTTTTAGCAGCTGCCTCCAAAATCTTGTGCCTCTGCGTCAGTTCCCCTTTGTCAACTTTCCAGAACCATGGGGTTGGGACCCCATCATCCCATGCTCAAACGGATTTCGGGACTGTATCTAGTCTGGCTGGGTGGCTTCACTTTTCTGGACTCAGCCATTGTCCGCAGCGTGGGATTGTTTTGAGACCAGCTATTCCAGACAAGGGCGCTTGTAGGGGATCAAAGTGACCCCACACAGGACTTTTCTGGATCATCTGCACTAGACCCAGGACTTTTCAGGAGCTTTGAGACTCTGGCTATTGGACGTTTTAGGGGATCAAAAAGTATTGATTCTAGAATTTTCCTGGGATCATCTTCTTTCCAGGCAGAAGACTTTTTAGGGGCTCAGCGTCTCTGATTTGTGAGGAGCAAGTTTGTCCAGAGTGAGAAAGTTTTGGAGAAGCCAACTTTTCTGGATGGGGAGGGAGTTTGGCTCCATTGGTTTGCTAGAATCTACATTTATAAGTGAATCAGGTTTTTTCCCAAGATAAACTTATTTTTGAGATTATTTTTCTAGGTTTGTAAAAATGTTGGTCTGTTTTCTTTCTAGATTGGGAAGAAATCTGGGTTTATTTTTTTGAGCTCAGGATGAAATTGGGTTTATATTTTTCTAAATTGGGAGCTGAACTTGGATTTAATTTTCTTTCTAGGGTGGGATGAAATCAGTTTGAATTTTTCTAGATCGGGGGGGGAAATTGATCTTATTTTTTCTGTCTCAGGGTGAAACCTGGATTTAATTTTTTCTAGATTGGGGCAGGAAAATCAGGGTTTCATGTTTCCAGAGTTGAGGGAATTGGGGTGAAACATTCCTCGACCAGGGAAAATGGAGGATTAAAGTTTTTGTGTTTAGGAGACATTTTGGGGAGGGAGGGGGTTGAATTTTTGCAGACTGAGAAAAACGTGTTTTTCCCTCCAGACAGGCAGAAAATACAATTTTCATTTGTTCTAGATGCAGCACATTTAGGGGGGTCATTTTCCAGATTACAGATGTTTTATTTAAATCTGAAGGGGGTTACTTTGCTTTTAAACTAGGGGAAGGTAGAGAATTTTAGAAAAATTGGGAAGGTAGAGAATTTTATTTTGCCATACCAAAAATTTATCAGGTTATTTTTCCAGACTCAAGTCATTTCTTAGGACATAAATATTCTTGTAGGTCAAAATTTTGGGCTATCTGGGGGTTGCTGAGTCTTGCCAAATAGAGGAAATGTTGAAGCATTAAATATTCCCAGATCGTGGTGGTTCAGGTGTCTGTCGAAGGATTATTTTTCTGGAATTATTTTTCCCGATTGAGAATTCCTCCCTTGGTGATCAAGATTTCACTTGGAGCCCATAGTGGATTTTACTCTGCAGAGGCATTCTGGATTGTCCTGAACCATGGAAGTCTGGCTGCTTTGTTTTTGGATTCCCCTCAGTCAGGCAGTGGAAGGTGAGTGAAAATTGGTGTGATTTGTGCAGATTTCTGTGTGTTTTGAAAGTTCTAAAGAGAGTGCATCTCTTTTCTAAAGAGGCACCAAGATGCCTGGATTCTCTCCTGATGCTGGGACGGAAGTGGGGGCTGGTGGGTGAGATCAGGGGGGCTGTGAGCCAGGACTCTTGGGTTTTTACCCCAGCAGTGGGAGTGGGGACTAGTGGGTCAGAGTGGAGGGGCTGAAAGCTGGGATGCCTGGGTTCTCTCCCCACCTCTGGGAGAGGAGTGGGAGCTTGTGGGTTGGAGTTGGGGGGGCTGCCAATTTTTGTACAGCGTGTATATAGTGGATACAAAAGAATGAAGTTTCATTAGCTAGCTCTTCATCCTTCCAGCCACCTCCAGACACCCCTTTTGCTCAGCTCCCGAGTTTTAATTGATTGTGTTTTAATAAAGCCTTTAAAACAGAGTGAGCCTCAACTTCACTCTGTTCTGCTTTTCATTGAACCCAGTTTCACCCCCGTTTTGTCAGAATATTTCATTCAGGCAGAAAACTGGCTTAGCAAAGTTCTTTCTTTCTTTCTTTCTTTCTTTCTTTCTTTCTTTCTTTCTTTCTTTCTTTCTTTCTTTCTTTCTTTCTTTCTTTCTTTCTTTCTTTCTTTCTTTCTTTCTTTCTTTCTTTCTTTCTTTCTTTCTTTCTTTCTTTCCCTCCCTCTCTGCTGCAGGAATGGAGGGAGCCAGTTGCTTGTGGCAAGAGAAAATCAGGCCTTTCAAAAAACTCAAACAGGCACTCCTCTCACACTGCCTCCTGCTTTCTTTCCCTGCTGTTTGTTCTTCCTCTCTCTTGTTCCAGCCACCCAACTCCCAGGAAAGTGTCTCCCTCCACTAACTCCCTGTCTTGCTCCTTTTTCCCCTGTCCCAAAAGGCCTTGGCAGATGTTTCTTCTTCGCCCTGCATTTGCCCTGGCACTAGCCTGTCAAGCCTTCTCTTTTTCTTCCATCCATTCACTGTGGATTTCACTCTTTCGCTCTTTCTCTTTTGCTCTATCTCACAAGCTTTTTTCTTCTCTTTACAGTCCTTTCCTCGACCCTCTGCTTCTCTTCCAGCTTGCCTCTGCACACTCCTTCTCCATTCTTTCGCTTCACAACCTTTTTCCTTCTTTGCTTCTCATCTTTTCAGTCCTTCCACCTTTTCATTCCTGGATGGTTGGGTTCTCTCCTCTGCTCTGGGAGAGGAGTGGGGGCTGGTGGGTTACAGTAAGAAGGATGGGAGCTAGGAACCCCGGGTTCTCTCCTCTGCTCTGGGAGGGGAGCGGGGGCTGGTGGGTTACAGTAAGAAGGATGGGAGCTAGGAACCCCGGGTTCTCTCCTCTGCTCTGGGAGAGGAGTGGGGGCTGGGCCAGGACTCCTGGGTTCTCTCCCCAAGTCTGGGAGGAGAACAGCTCACTAGCCCTCATCCCCATCCCAGAGCCGGGACCAACCCACTTCAGTCCGAGAAGCCAGGCAGGGACAGCAGAGGGTTACTCATTCACATCTGGGATGGATTTAGCCAGGGAGAGAGGAGAACACAGGCTGCGGGAGGGGGTGGGGTGTGTGTGTCATGGTCTGGCAGCTGAAGCAGAGAGGCCCAAAAGGGGATGGAGAGGCCAGAGCTGGGGCTGGATGGGAACTGGTGCCCCCTACAGGGTACAGGTCCCATGCCCAATTCCCTGCCCCCCAAGCCAGCCAGTGCCTTTCCTGGGGTCAGGTGAGAGCTGGCACCCCCTAGAGGGGACAGGCTCCTCCCCATTCCCCCAGGCCTCCTAGTGCAGCAGCTCTCCCCTTTTTCCAGAGTCTTGCACCTCTGACCTGTTGTGTGCCCCCTAAATTCCACCTCCCTTAAACACACCAGGCTTCCAACATGTGCCCCAGCTGTCTAGACATGTCCCCAGTCCTCTGACCCCGTCAGATTATTGGTTTCCCCGTGTGGCCATGGAGTGGGACAGAAACCTCACACAGTTGTGCAAGCATGTGGCACCAGAGCCGTGCGTACAAGGCTGAGGCCTCCTGCACGAGCTTTGTGGGCACTTTCCCTGGAGCCCGTGGGAAACTGTGGCAGGCGTCTCTGCAGGCTACAGTGTCCCTGGCAAGTCCTCTGCATACCCCAGGGATAATTGCCCCTTCCCCTCCCTGGTCAAAGCCAAGGCCTAGACTGAGATTCACCCCATTAAAACCATCACCCATAGCCCCTGTGTGCACAGTATAGGGGTGGGGGAGGGGAAAGGGCTCCTGGGTTCTCTCCCCTGCACAGGGTGGAGAGTGGAGACTAGTAATTAGAGAAGGGGGGGCGGGGAGCCAGTACTCCTGAGTTCTCTTCCTCTCCCAACCCACAGCCCCTGCCAGCCCAGCCCTGCACCCCCCCACCCCATGTCTGCTGGTGCCCCTCATTCCTGACTTGCAGTTCCCCCCTTCTTTGTCTCCCAGAGACTTTGCTGAACACCCGTCTGGAGACGTCGGATCTGAAGTGGACGACATACCCCCAAACTGATGGCCAGGTGAGGGGGAGAGGGCAGATGGGGGAGGGGGCAGGTTTGCAGCGGGGGCTGTGTTGTGAGGGCAAGGAATCGCAGGCTCCATGAAATTGCAGGATGGCTAGTCTGGGAAGATCCCAGATTAGCAGGAGGGTGGGGTTTATTGGGGGCAGGTGGAGAGTTGGGAGGTTTGGGGGGCTGCGGAGGAATCAGGGGGACTGAGTGTCTGGCCACTCTGCCAACTGACCTGTGTCCCCTCTCTTGTTCTGTGCCCCATAACGTCCTGCTGTGCCCTGCATCTCTCCCCTCTACCCTGTGTCCCATCTCCTCCCTCCTCCCCCTTGTACCTGACTTTCCACCTCCTCTTTCCCCCACCTATCTCTATACCCCCTTCCCTGCCCCCAACCCCTGTTCCCATCCGGCAGTGGGAGGAGCTGAGTGGGCTGGACGAGGAACGCCAACAGTCGGTGCGCACCTTCGAGGTGTGTGCGGTGGAGGGGCCGGGCCAGGAGGCCTGGCTGCGCAGCAGGTTCGTGGGACGCCGGGAGGCGTCGTATGTCTATGCCGAGCTGCGCTAATCTCTATACCCCCTTCCCTGCCCCCAACCCCTGTTCCCATCCGGCAGTGGGAGGAGCTGAGTGGGCTGGACGAGGAACGCCAACAGTCGGTGCGCACCTTCGAGGTGTGTGCGGTGGAGGGGCCGGGCCAGGAGGCCTGGCTGCGCAGCAGGTTCGTGGGACGCCGGGAGGCGTCGTATGTCTATGCCGAGCTGCGCTACACGCCGAGCATCTGACCCGCAAGCGGCCGGGCGCCGAGGCCACGGGCAAAGTCAACGTCAAGACGCTGAGGCTGGGGCCCCTTACCAAAGCTGGCTTCTACGTGGCCTTCCAGGACCAGGGGGCCTGCATGGCACTGCTGGGTGTCCGCCTCTACTTCAAGAAGTGTCCGGGCACTGTGGTCCGCCTGGCCACCTTCCCCGAGACCGTGCCCCGGGAGCTAGTCATGCCGGTGGGTGGCGCCTGCGTGGATGGGGCTGTCCCAGCAGGCCCCGGGCCCCTCAGCATGTACTGCCGGGAGGACGGACATTGGGCAGACCATACTCCCGCTGGTTGCGTTTGCCTGGCCGGGCATCAGGTTGCTGAGCAGAATACCCAGTGCCGAGGTGAGCGGTCCTGGATGCTGGGTTTCTGCCACAGGGGCCGGGCAATGGGTCTTCAGGGGATCCCCAGACGTGGGATTCTGCCGCAGGGGCTGGGCGATGGGGCCTTTGGGAGGGTCCCCAGATGCAGGGTTCTGCACAGGGGCTGGGCGATGGGGCCTTCGGGGGGGGGGGGGCCCCCA